GAGGAGTTTGCCGCGTCGCTGGACGCGGTCGGCTACCACGCCCTAGACTTTCGTCCCATTCTCTGTATCCCCACTAAAATCACCAAAGTTTTATTGAATAAAGCGCGGAGTCTGATGCCCCCGGGATACATCCTTCACTATAATGCCAATCATCAAAACATCATAGATCCCCACCGAAGACCACGGTTAGGTTTCCATCTAGCCTCCTTGGACACCGGGATCCTCTTCCCACTTCGTCCCCTTCTCATCCAAATGTGCAAAAGATTTTCCATACTCCCGGGTTAGTTGACCCCAAATGCCCATGGACTACTAAATTGCTTCACAAATATTTGCAACTTCAAGAAAATCACCCACTCCCTAGAGCTCTTCCTCTTTATCTTCGAAGTCCTACCGGGTAACGCCAACTGCTCCGGATTCGTGTACTTCCATTCTCGAAAAGATAAAGCTTTCATCTCCGATGTTCCACCCGGTCATAAAAAATGGAAAACACGATTTGTCTTTATTGAGTTTCCCGAGGGCGAGTTCCCCTTTGATGGCGAACTCCAATGGGGAGACCGAATCCCTGAGTTTGAAGATGTTTACCCGGCCACCACTCCTGGTCTTGAGAAAGATTGCGCGACGTTATTGAAGGGAGATCCGACAACTGGGAAGGCTTTTAGCTTCGGGAATTGGACGCACCGGGTCCCTAGCCTGGATGAGGGTACCCCTAGGTCCAATGAAGCAGAGGCTGACCGGGTCGCAACCCCGGAGAGTAATGCTGAGGCTGGGTCCACTCATCCAGGTTAGTCGTCTTTTATAACACTGACTCCTTTTTTTAACCGTGCCCCCCCTTTTTTTATAGAGATGAACTTCAGAAGCTATGCCGACCCTGAGGATGAAGTAGAGGATCTCAAGACCAGCTACGGCAACGTTACTTCTCCCCAGGTCGACCACAATCACTCCACCGGGATCAATGATCAGGTGATACATGACGTCCAATCTGAGAAGAACCAAGGCCATGAGTCACCCCTAGATCATGGCCCAAGCCAAGTGGATGATGTGGCTGAAGTGGCCGGTCAGAGCAAGATTCCTACGGGCACCACCGAAAAGACTTCAATGGAGAAGAGAAAGAGGAGTTCCCACAAGAGCTCTAGATCCCACTCTAAGAAGAGGAAGGGGGATCCCCAATGCAGTGATCCCAAATATGTAGAGATGTCCGCTGAGCAACTTCTTCTAGCCATCGCCCAAAAATTGCACGGGGTAAAGTATCATTTCCTTTGCTTTATTTCAAACATTCTCAATTCTTATTGACGTTTCTTTGTCTTTGCAGCATGGTGAGTTCTCCGAGGCTTTCTCGAGATGAATTCTTGGCACGGGCGATGATGAATCCCAACGACTCCAAAGAAAGCTTGATGCTGCCCATGAAGAGATCAAAGCACATGTCACCAGTGCCAATCAGGTGAAGACCTACCTTGAGCAGGTGACCCTTGAGAACAACAGAATGAAGTTCTCGGTCAACGAGAAGGATGAGGAGATCAACCGGCTTAAGGAGGAGAATGAGCGACTGAATGATGCGCTGGTCAAGAGGGAAGAAGAAGTCAGGACCCTTGAAGTTGATTCCTGTGCCAAAGACGAGATGTTTTCTGATAGGGCCGGGGAATGGGCCGGCTAACACTACGCTGAGGTTGCCCGGGCCGTGACCGCTACACCTGAAGGAACCAAGGACTTCTTTGAGGTTCTGTTCAAGGAGCCTTAGGGTAAAAAGATGACCACTGAGATTGGATCCTATGGCTTCATGATGGGGCAGAAGGCGGAGAGGACTGGCATGTACCGGCTTATGCAGAAGAGGGATCCTAAATTCGAGCCTGCGGCATGGAAGCTTCCCCCACTCCATAAAGATGAACCAGTGCCCCCATTCCCCTTTGAGTAGGGTTAGACTAGATTGGTGCCTTTGAATTTTCTTCCATTGTAATATTGACATTGTTGGATTTTGAACCCGGTGCACCTTGGTTGCTTGATTTAATATTGATTTTGTTACCATTGGGAGATTAGCAGTTGAAATTGGAAACTGGTCTTCGGGACATGGTCTGAAAAATCTCTTTAAAACTGGCCGGAGGCATTACTGAAATGGTGACCGGTAACGGGATAAAATCGTCAAATTGTTCCGTTCTGAAACTTCAATTTGTGACCGGTCAAAGTACCAAAATGGTGACCGGTCACATTGCCGTGGATAACCGGTCAAGGCGGGCCAAATTTATTGAACTGCTACATTCCGAAATGGAAAAACTGTGACCGGTCACCTTACTTGAATGGTGACCGGTTTTTGGCAAATTTTCCAAACGTGTTTTCGAAATTTTTGAAATTAGACCGGTCACCTTACTGAGTTTTCATTTTTAAACCTCGTCTTTCGGAACAATCACAATGCGCCCGGCCAGAAACATTTTTAAATGGTGACGGGTCGCTTGGGCTTGAAGTCACCACCCATCTTACTTCTTCTCGACTTAGTCACGTGTATGATGGTTTGACTTAATCAGTCATCCAATATTTCTTTTGATTTTGGGCATCCAATTTTACCTGGGTAATGCTATTATAAGTCCCAACATCAAGACCTAGTTAACATTGGAGAATCAAGATCATGTACTATGACCGCGAACCCTCTCCAAGGTCCTGCTCTCTTCTAGGCATCACCCTTGCTCCAGGGCCCCTCTTCCAGGTTTAAGATTTTTATTGTGCCCTATTTACTTTATTAGATCAACCAAGCCCATCTAATCTTCCCATGGGGGGTATGCCAGTGAGAACCGACACGCTTCCAATCTACACGACCATGTATTATGTGTTTGGAAGATCCCATCTTTTTTACAAATAGAATTTCCAATCCACAAGCGATGGTCTCATGAGACGGTATCATTTTTTGGCATCTTTTCCTCCCTTCCCAGTAGAAAACTAGTCAGGATCCATGTTTAGTATGGATGCGAACCCTCTTCCAGGTCCAGCCTATCTCAAGGCAATACCTCAATCATCAAGACCCCCATCTCAAGGGTTTTTTTGTTCATACTTCGATCCGGTCTCAAACATCAAGACCGGTCGGCCAAAATCATTAGTTAACTCCACTCACAGGAATTTAATTGAAAATAGTTTCCATTCATTCGGTGAGAAGCTTTCAATTACACACACCAAGCACAACTTTTTCAACTATTCAAGGATAAAACTTCTTTAGATGGTGCAAATTCCAGCACCTCTCAACTTCTTTCCCCTCCAAGGTTTCCAGCTTGTAGGTCCCTGGGCGGATGATTGCAGTCACCTTGTATGGACCCTCCCATTTCTTTGCCAGTTTTCCTCCGTCCCCAGGCTTGCTTGCTTCTCCGCGTCTCAAGACCTCATCGCCTACTTGGAAGTAACGGGGTCCTACCTTATTGTCATGGTAAGCCTTCACTGTCTGCTGGTATTCCATCATTTTCATTTTAGCCATGGCCCTCCTTTCCTCGACCATGTTTAGTTCAGCCATGTGACTCTCGTTGTTTTCTTCCTCGCTGTATTCTGCCTCACGGAACGTTGGGATCTTTGCCTCAATTGGAAATCTTGCCTCACAACCATAAGTGAGGGCAAAAGGTGTTTCTCCAGTAGCCCTTCTTGATGTCACCCGATAGGCCCATATGATATGAGGTAGTTCCTCCAGCCAGTTCTTCTTGGCCTCCCCCAGTCGCTTTTTGATACCATCCACTATGGTTCGATTTGCATTCTTTACCTGACCATTTCCCTGGGGGTAGGCCACTGATGCCTTATTGTGAGTGATTCCAAAATCTTCTAAGTATTTGGTGAAGCGTGGATTTCGGAACTGTGGTCCATTATCAGTGACAATGCTTTGTGGGGCTCCAAACCGGGTTATGATGTGCTGCCACACAAATTTTTGACATTGCTTTGTAGTGATAGTCGCATAAGCTTCAGCTTCTACCCATTTCGTGAAATAGTCAATGGCCACAACAACATACTTCTTACTTGCTTGAGCCACGGGGAAAGCTCCCACGATATCCAGTCCGAATCTTGCGAACGGGACAATATTGGACACCGGATGATAGTAAGTTGCGGGGCGCCCTGGGAATTTGTAGAAAATCTGGCAAGATGGACATTTATGTACATACCGCTCACAATCCATGTTCATTGTCGGCCAATAGTAGCCTAGCAAGATGATTCTCTGCGCCAAGGTCCTTGACATCTGGTGGGCTGCATAGACACCCTCATGCACCTCGGCAACCACTCTTTCCGCTTCAGATTTCGTCAGACATCTCAACAATGGTCCACCGAACGCCCGTTTGTATAGTTTTCCCTCAAATAGCTGAAAACGAGGTGCCCTCAACTTCACTTTTCGTGAGTGGTCATCTTCCTCAGGAAATTTCCTGGTCATCAGATATTTGACCAAATCTGTCATCCAGAAATCATCTACTTCGACCAGGCTGAGACCCACCCGGTCAAGTTCCATGACTAGGCCGACTGGCTGCCGCTCAATACTCGACCTCTCCACCATCTCGATTTTGGCCAACTTCGAGACATGTTCCGGGGCTGCTTGGGTCAACTTTGATAACAAGTCCGCGTCCGTGTTTTCCCTCCTGGGAATCTGCTCCAACTTATACTCTTCCATGTCTCGTAGCAAGGCCATCACCAGGTCTCGATATTGTTGCATCTTCTCTCCCTTTGCTTCCATATTCCCATTGACGTGCCCTACCACCAGACTCGAATCCGATTTGATGACCAGGCGTGAAACATGCAGGGATTTAGCCAACCTCAGCCCACCTATGAGGGCCTCATATTCCGCTTCATTGTTGGTTAGCTTGAACTTAAAAATCAAGGCGTGGTAAACCTTGAACCCTTTTGGAGTGGTGAAGACCACTCCTCCCCTATAACCTTTTGGTCTGGATGCCCCATCTACCGACATAGTCCACCAAGATTCAGTAATTACCTTCTCATGCTCTTCCTCCTTCTGACCCGTCATCTCGACTAAGAAATCGACAACAGCTTGGCCTTTTATGGCTGTTCGGGGACGATATTCAATGTTGAATTGGGTCAACATCATTGCCCATTTTATTATCCTCCCCGAGGATGTGGAATTTCTCATGACCATACCAAGGGGTTGGTCCGTCAAGACCACAATTGGATGAGCCTAGAAGTAAGAGGCAAGCTTCTTCGCAGTGATGAATAATGCATATCCGGCCTTTTCCATAGAGGTATACCGGCTCTCAGCACCATTCAAGGCCTTGCTCACATAATAGATGGGCCTCTGAATCCCATCGTCTCGCATCAGCACAGAGCTGACGGCATGCTGAGTTACCCCTAGATACAAATAGAGCGTCTCCCTAGCTTCCGGCTTTGCTAAAACAATATCCGAAGCCAGGTAAGTTTTCAGATCTTTGAATACTTGGGTGCACTCTGGACTCCATTCAAAAGCATTTTCCTTCTTCGAAACCCTGAAAAAAGGCAAGGCCTTTTCTGCTAACCTTGACAAAAATCGATTGAGCGCTGCCAATCGTCCCGTCAGTTTTTGGACATCTTTGACCGAAGTTGGGGGTTGCATTTCCATAATTGCCTTGATTTTTTCAGGATTTGGTTCTATCCCTCTTTTGGTTACCATGAAACCGAGGAACTTGTCCTCACTGCGAAGACGCACTTCTTAGGATTAAGTCGGAGGTTGTACGTGGCCATGATGTCGAAGCATCGTCCCAAGTCCTCCGCATGCGTGCTGGACACCTTGCTTTTCACCAGCATATCATCAACATATGCCTCCATTGTCTTCCCCAACAATGGCCTGAACAGCTTGTTCACCATCCTCTGATAAGTGGCCCCGGAGTTTTTCAACCCAAAGGCCATTACCCTATAGCAATACGTTTCGTCGGGGGTGAGGAAGGACGTTTTCTCGTCATCATCCTCAGCCATATAAATTTGATGATACCCTTTAAAGGCATCCATAAAGCTGAGCAGCTCACAACTTGTTGTCTCGTCTACCATTTGATTTGGGCTGGGAAGGGGATAAGAGTCCATGGGACACGCCCTGTTAAGGTCCGTGTAGTCAACACACATCCGCCATGTGTCTCCTTTGGGGGCCAGGACAACATTGGCTAGCCATTCAGGGTAATGAACCTCCCTAATGTGACCTACCCCAAGCAAGTCTTTGACTTCTTTTTTCACAAACTCCCTACGCTCGCTGGCCAAATATCTTTTCTTTTGTCTCACAGGGTGAGACCCTTCCATTACTGATAGATGATGGCATATCACCGATCGATCTATCCCCGGCATGTCCACAACACTCCAAGCAAATAAAGAGTTGTACCTGGTGAGGACCTGAATGATTGCATCCTTCTGTTCAATTGGTAACCCGGTACCGATCCTGACCACCCTTTCTGGTATGGCCGAGTCAATTTGAACCTCCTCCGTGCTAGAGTCGGGCTCCAGCCTTTGCTTTTCTTCTCCCTTCTCCACTTGTTGGGAGATGACCTTGATTCGCTCAAAGAGGCAGGTCATCTTCTTTACAGCTTCCAGGTTACATGACCTAGCATTCTTCCGGTCACCTCTTTCTTCCCCAATGCCATGGGGGGTGTAAAACTTCATGCACAGGTGAGTCATAGAAATAATTGCCCTTACTTGGTTGATACCGGGTCGCCTCAGGATCGCATTGTGCACACAATGGATATCAACCACCACGAACTTCATTCGCTTGCTCACCACCTTGCTACCTGTCCCCAGTTCTACAGGTAATGTAATAGTTCCTTCAGCCTCAATCGTTGCTCCAGTGAATCCTGACAAAGGAGTCTGCAGGGGCTCCAGTTGTGACCTATCCAACTTTAGCTTCTTGAACGTCTCCAAGTATAGAACATTAACACTGCTCCCCGTGTCAACTAATACTCTGCCCACGTCCGCACCGTTTATATCCATTGTAATGACCAATGGGTCATTATGATCTTCCCCAGTACGCGGTTCTGCTAACACTGTGGCCAGGTTCAAGCTCCTGGCCCAATTCTTCCTTTGAGACGCCGTGTCTCCTCCTTCAGGCCCTCCCGCAATCATGGTTATGTACTCTTTCCTTGTAGCAGGTTTCTTTGCCTTATCCTTTTCTCCTTCTCCCGGGTGGTTCAAGCTATTTGCCTTTCTCGCCTCTTCCGTGTACTCGCCGCTGAACTCACCTTTGTTTACCATCTCCTGGAGTAAAACATTCATACTCCGGCATTCCGTGGTATTGTGCGAATCTGACTGGTGGTAGGTGCACCACTTCTTGGTCCAGGGCTTTTTGGGCTTGCCCCCTTTTTTATCGTCTCGGATCTCATGCACAATGCCTTCGTGATGAGTCTTTGACATTGAGCCTCCTGATTGATCTTCTTTTTTGGTCTGGGATGATTTGGCCTTATATCCTTCCTCCAGCTCTCTCTTGCTGTGGTTTAGGTTCTCTGCTTCCCCATACTCCCACGCGGTGTTGTATGCTTCTTGGTAGGAAGCGGGAGGTCTCCTACAGAATTTTGTATAGAGTTCACCAGAGCGGAATGCGTTCATAAGGAGTGACATGACAGTCTTGTCATCGATCTCCTCCAATTTGTCCATCTCCTCCCTCCACCGAGTGAGGAATTCGATCAAGGTCTCCTTCTCCCTCTGTCCTACCGTGTTAAGGTAGGTGAATTTCTTCCTCTTGATGCAGTTGTCCTGATACTTCCTTCGGAAGATTTCAGCCAACTTTTCAAAAGACCCGATCTTGCCCTGGGGAAGTTTATTGAACCATTCCACAGGCCTTCCCCTCAAAGAGGAGAAGAACAACAAACACTCCTCAGCATCCGTGCAACCCGCCATCTGAGCGGCGTTGTGAAAAGTGTCTAGATGGATGTCTGGATCCTCCTTACCAGTGAACTTTTCAACATCTAGCTTTATCTTCTGGGTCATCTTGTGCATGTGTACCGAGGCAGTAAAGGGTGACTTTGCCAAGGTATGCTTGTTTCGTCCACTCCTCTCAACTTTGTCCTCTAGGGCTTGCAACTTCCTTGCCATGAACCCAATTTCATCAAAATCTTTATCGGCGCTTCCATAAGACAATCTTGTATAGGCGGAGGCCCTAGACTGGCTCTCAGCTTCCCCTTCTTCCAGGTGACGGCCCTGGCTCCCCTTTGGCCGCCTAGATTGAGCAGGTTGCTTGCGTCTCACCCCACCATGACGTTCGAATGCACTAGGACGAACCGTATCATGTCCGAGCCTAAATTTTGCAGATTTCCGAGGGCCTTCATTTTTTGAACCAAGACATTTGAACGCCGAGTCTCGGGTTTTGGTAGGCTTGGCAATGCCCTTGCCCTTGTCAGTACGGGGCTCGTCCCATTCCTCCTCATTGGTGACTGAAACAACATGGCCATCTGGTGTACCGGCGGGGCGTGAGGGTCCAGCTTGGTTCATTTCCGAAACCAAGTTCACTGGCTCGACAAAATGGATCATCCGGGGGACGAACGACGTTGGGGTAGTCCCGGGAATTTGCAGGGGAGTTAATCCTGGTGTCTGCATTGGGCACATACCAGGATAACCATATAGCATATACCCTCCCGATTGTTCCATCATGGCCATAACATGGTTATAGCCTTGCATCGCTTGAGCGTTTGCCGGGTCAGCGGCAAACTAAGAAAGATGCGGAGGATACATCATTGGTGGAGCCATTATCCCCGACATATTTGATCCCAGAACGGGACACGTGGATAGGGGCAATGAACTCGAAAATAACGGAGTCGTCGTAGGCATTGGGCTAGGGACGGACATGATCGAAATCATCCCCAATGATCCTACGGAAGTCAGCGGGGCAAAAGCTGCCCGCATGCTAGTCGTTACTGCCAGGACGGTAGATAGTTGAAGCTCAGAAATAACAGGATGGCTACTATAAGACATTTTTGTGGGTATTTCGTGGGTATAAGAAACTTTATTGGGCAAGATTTTTCTAAAAAAACCGGCCCCACGGTGGGCGCCAAATGATGGTGTAAATTCCACCGGGTATGGGAAGTAGGCAACTGGGTCGGGTTAGGGAGGCCTAACCGGGCAAATAAAGATAAGCTTAATAGTAAGGAACACAACACAAAATTACCTAGACCAAGGTAAATCTCCCGAGTCCGAATATATTTCTTACTCTTTCTAGAGTGTACAGATTTTTATGGAAGTAGTAGTGAATACCCTCTCCTCTCTCTATCACAGATTATTTATAGAGTAGAGGAGGCTCAGTAGGTGCATGGAAGCTGCCCACTTTAGGACAAATAACTAGACAGCATCTATTACTGTGCAATCAGAATATGTTGATTGAATACAAATCTAGGATGGTGCCAAAGGACTTTACCACACTGATTTCTTGAGTGACGGGTGTGGGTCCCTCCATTGATCTCCTAGATACTAGGGTTTGGGGGAGGCGGATACGTCCGGCCGTGATCCATAGATCGAAGCTCAAAAGTGAGACCGATCAAGTTGTACGGAGCCCAATGCTTCATTTCCTCAAGAGCTTAAGATAGTGACCGGTCTCCCAATCCGGGGGTGACCGGCCGCTCAATGTCGTACCAAAAAAGCGTCTAACGTCTATTCTTGAAGACCAAGACCGTGACCGGTCACCCTAATCCGGACCGTGACTGGTCACCAACTGTCGCGCCCAAATGTCTGCACCAACCATCCCCAAAGACCAAGAAACGTGACCGGTCACCCTAGTTCGGGGGTGACTGGTCACGCACCGCCATGATCCGAAATGCCATCTCGCCGAGGGTGAAGGTACAACCGTGACCGGTCACCTAAATCCGGGGATAACCGGTCACCTACCACCATTCTCCAAAGTAGCAGCCTAGTTGAGTCCGGAAAGAAGATCCGTGATCGGTCACCTTTAATCGGGGGTGATTGGTCACCCAGTGCCCCTCTCCGAATAGCCACCTAGTCGAATCCGGAAGATCCGAACCACCACTGGTCACCCGACCTCATGGTTGACACGTCACCTCGGTATCGACGTGTGGTTCATTGCTCAAATTTTCCACAAGAGGACTAGTGTGTGTGGTTGTGCCTTCCACGATCTGGACAATCAGGTCCCCATCCTTAGGGGCTAGATTTGGTGAAGAAAGTGGAGCAGCGATGAGTTTCTTTATCACGCTCATCATATTTGTTTTAAACAAGTGTAATTCTATCGGGATCAAACTTGGTAAAATTGGAGAACCACGACTAAATCCTGGATTGAGCAATAGACCTTTACGGCGAATGCATATACCTCGGAATCATATTTTGGTTGACCTTCAATTTGACGAAATGCCTGAAGTTTTTTTATGATTTCATCCACAGAATCTTCAACTACACACACGCCTTCATAAAATTCAATTTGTCCTCGTAAGAACTTTCTCGAGTAAATCAAGAACTTTGTCCAACAGAGAATCCATTGCTAAAAGAAACACCACCACACACAAATTGAATTGAATTTTGTGGCTGATTTTTTTTGTATAATTTTTTTTTGAATGAGTTCAAGAATGAAAGCACCAATTGATACGATATTGTACCGGGATATGGAAGGATTTCGAGCACCTTCGAGCTCCAAGAACAAAAGAGGCGAGAAAGAGAGAGAGATTGGGGTTTAGAAGAAAGTAAATTCTTTATTCATTGATTCATAATTCATTGAAATGGTTACATATATAGCTAGCACCCCTAAAAAATCCTTACCGTAGAAGTAACTAAATAAACAAGGAATCCTAATTATAAATGGTAACAAATATCCTAATAATAGAATACTACTTTCTAATAATAATATAATTAACTAACCATAAATAATGATACTACCTAATATAATAATATAATAATAATGGTAAATAACTAAATATAAACCCATATCAGAATCGTGTTTCACAGATCTATCATTAGGATTAATTTGTAGGTTAGTATTAGTTGCTATATTTCCTTGCAGTTGACATTGAATTTATGAGCATGATTGTTAAACCTTGTCAAGGAACCAACTCAATCAAAAGTTCAAGCTTGTGGTTTTGGACTAAGAACAGTGATTTATATTCTAACACGCCCCCTCACGTGCAGACGTAGTTTTTTTTCGAGCCTTGCACGTGAAACCTTAATTTTTTTAAAATTGGGTGGCGCTGAGTTTCGAACGCGTGACCTCTTAGTTAACTTGGCTCCAATACCATGTCAAGGAACCAACTCAACCAAAAGCTCAAGCTTGTGGTTGTGGCCTAAGAATGATTGTTATATACTCTAACACGCCCCCTCACGTGCAGGCGTGACCTCTTTGAGCCTTGCACGTGAAACCTTAATTTTTATAAACTGGGTGGCGGTGCATTTCGAACTCGTGACCTCTTGGTCATCCAGGCTCCGATACCATTTCAAGGAACCAACTCAACCAAAAGCTCAAGTTTGTGGTTGTGGCCCAAGAATGATTGTTATGTACTCTAACAAACCTCTTGACTGATTGTATTTTAGGGACTTGCATTATTGAAATTGGGTAGAAGCATGTTTAGGGTTAATTAGGGATTTGGGTACGTTAATTGTTGGATATTTTACATTATAACTTTATTGGTGATAAACTGTGATAATAAATTGTGATTGAGGAATAGGACACAAAGTAGTACTAGCTGAGTTTGAGTTGATTTGAATGTTGCAATCACTAATAGGATTGAGATTAGAAATTAAGCTCATGGGGGTGTTGTCGCACACTTGATGGTCTCGAGGGTAAAAAACGTACGTGCGGAGGTCAGTGACCCCTGGTGAGAACTAGTAGGGGCCTCAACCCCTCCATTACGAGAACTTTGGAGTTTGAGCGCGGGTTCAGGTGAGAGCTTGGATTCCATGACTCCCACAAAAATGATGTGGATTAGGCCTAGTAAGCAAGTGAAGTGAAGTATGTGCAAAAATCTTAAGTGAATAAAAGGGTGATTAATCATATGGTTGAATAATGATATTTGCTTATTCTTCTGACATTGTATGATTGTATATAATGAATGTTAATCTATAAATTACTTCTAGCATTAGATATCCCCACACTCGTTGAACTATGTGTGCAGGTAGGGATCGAGTATCGGATGAGCAGCTAGAGGAGAGTGAGGTGTGATGCTAGTGGATTGCATGAAGCTGTTGTTTTAATTTAAATACTCTGTTGAATTCCTTACTTAAATTACAAGAATGTTGGATGTTTTAAAGGCTTCCGCAACAATTAGATTTTGTTACTCCGATTAACTTATGATTTATTTTTAAATAAATGCGAATGGATATTTTATTTTAAATGTTTTTAAAATATTGTGCATGTGAATAAGATGTGGGAGAATAAGGTGTTAATGCCCAGAGTGGTATGAGCGATGGTGATTAAAATATGTTTACAGTGGAGGGCCGTATCCATGAGTAATAATCGTCCATGTGAGGTGGGTTTGCCGCCACAGATTGCTTTGTTGGAGGCTGGTACATGGATATGCTACATTGATGCAGCTATTGCTAACACAAATGGGGAGATCAGTTTAGGTTGTGTTGTGTTAGCGACGGATGGTGCTTTTCGAGTTGCTTATAATGGAAGATTAGAGCATGCTCTAGTTCCTTTTGTTGGCGGAATTGATTGCTTGTAAGGAGACCCTCAATTCGTTGGAAGAATTGGGATTGGGTAAGATTCATCTTTTCTCACACTGTCTTCAACTCGTGGGTGCTTTGTAACAGCGGGAGAATTCATCATGTCCCTCTTATCTTGGATCCCTTTTAAATGGTTGTTCTTTAATTTTAGATCTTTTGATACATCTATTATTAGTTTTGTTAGGAGGTCATTTATTTGTATTCCTCATAAATTGGCTAAAAATGCCCTAGCTTGTAGATCTATTTGGGAGTTTTTACCTCCCCATTTTGTGATGGACCTTTTAAATACATAATATATCATTTTGGCTTTCAAAAAGTACCAAATAATATTTAATACTACGTTGGAGATATTTCAATTCGGAAAAAAGACATGTAACTAATAAAAATTAATTAAATGTTAGAAGTGATAATATAAATTTTTTTATAACCTCTTATAGCATTACTGTTGTATTTGTAAATCGTCTGATCTTAACTCCTTAAGCGCATGGCTGTACTCAAATATTGAATGTGAAAGCATGTTAGCGTAGTGGTGGTATAAAATTAATTTATAATGAAATAAAATAAATCAACTCTTTTGATGTTAGAAATAAATGATCAAAAAATAATTTGGACATCTACGATGTCTAATTAGAAAATTGATGGTTCCTACCCACTAACCTCACTTTTAAACCCCTCACCCCAGCCCATGTAACTTCCTTCTCGTGACAGTGTATTGCTAGGGGATGGAGGAGGGCAAGTGGTGTAACACCCTAATCCGTCCAGGTCTGCAGCCCCTTTCGGACTAAAGTATTAACTTGGTAATCGTAAAAATTTAAAACATTTTAACATCTTTATTTATCATAAAATAATATTCCATACATAACAGTAATAAATTACGGAGTTTTTAACCATAATGCGGAAGCAATTTAAATCATGTCTCATAAAAATTTAATTTAATCATTTTAAATCATAAATCCACCACGATAGCATCGCCCCTTCTGCTGCCAGGAACATGTCAATTACTCGTTCTGCCTACCTGCGTGTAGCAAATAAAACACACTACACGCTCAGTGGTGAAGCTGAGTAAGCATATCTAAAGCGTCGAACATCCACATAAATTGAATCCAAATTCATAATCAAATCATTTGATATCATGCACAGAGTATTCAGTTCAAATATACAATAATCAATATTCAACATTCGTCATTCAATATTCATATTCAACATTCAACATCCTCATTCAATAATATTCTTAAACTATTCTTAGTCTAAGGCCA